TGCTTTCATTTCCTAAGTTGTCCCAGGTCTGCCTATCCTGTGCAGAATTTCTGTATAATCCTTGTTCTTTTCTGTCAGAAATTCAGAGAAGTCTTTCTGCCCTTATTCCCTCTCAGTTGTGATCTGTAATACTCTGTTGATGTTCTCAGCTAAGAAATTGATCACTTTGCCCCTAACAAAAGTGAAATTGGAAGGTAAATGTTCTCCCTTAGTCCTCAAAGCATTAGCATAGAATTCCTGTGTCAGCTCTCTGAATCCCTTGCCAGCAGCTGATACAAATAATTCCCATCCTCTCTTCTTGATTTGGTCAGAGAATTCAGGATGTTCATCCTCCTTTAGTTCAAAGTTTCTATCATGCACTATTTCTATTTTCAGAATATTAGCCTTGAAGTAGTTTTCTTGTGGGATACCTCTGAATCTAGGATCATGGTCAGGGATTGTTCTTGAAGAAGGACCTTCTGAAAATCTGCCTCTTTTTTTCCTAGGAGTTCCCCTTGGTGTGCTTGCCATTTTTCAGTACCTATCACAATTTTACACCAAGAAAGAATTAGTTCAGAATTTAACCAAGTGTGCAGAAATTAATTCAACAGGTGTAGCACTTTTTCTAACTCCAAACACAGAGAGTATGCTATCTTAAAGCTTATGTGAACCATCAGCAAGTTATAATTCCAGTATCTAGCTATGTCCAAAGTTTTTAGGTTCAGCTCAACTCTTAATTTCCATATTCAATGTGCTAAATGTAGAGAAGTATGACAACAACTGCAGGATCAAAGTTCCATGATAAAAAAATAAAATTCAAAACAATTCACTGCAATTCATCAGAATAATAATCCAGAATGTCTTGATCAAACAATTTTCAGTACTAAAAAGCACATTAGTACTCATAATATTCAATTTGAATTCTTTTTTTGGATATTAAACTAAGGAAAATTAATTCAGCATTTCACAGAACATGTTTTGCATTATTCTCAATACTACATTGAACAAATTTTTCAACAAAATTCTCAAAATATTCACTGCTATATTTCTGCACATACTCATCAAAGGAACATAGCAAAAATTCATAATACAGATTCAAATTCTCATTAAAAATTACAAGTCTGTCATGTATTCGACTCAATCACACCTTAATTTCATGTTCCAATCATCAATTAAACATAATTCACACCCAAATCACAATCCCCAAATTATCCCCAAATCAAATTCAGAAGAACCCTAGAATTTAAATTTTGCAAATTGAGGAAAATTACCTGGAATTGGAGTGCTGATATAGACTTACTCGACAGTGATAATGTAGTGGAATGAAGTCTCAGATTTAGTAAACCAAACAGAAAATTGCTGATTTTTGATGAAGGTATCTGGGCAGCTAGGGTTTTTCACATTGCGCTTTGGCTCTGGGGGTTTAAAGTGAGAACTCTGAACGCGTGAAGGCTTTAAATAGGGAAAGTAATCACGCAGAAGATTTAGTTCAAAAATCCCCTAGGCGTGGCTACTTCACTCGTTCTGCGTTTCAACTTAAAACCCTCGTGCAGCTCACGTGCTTACTTAAAATGAAGGAAATTAAGGTTTAAAGATCTGACTTGTGCACGTGTTGGCTTCAAACGGTTAAGGTAAAGAAGTGCAACTGCGCGTGGTAACTTCTCCCAGTTGGCGTTAAGGCGCGCAACTGCTCTGTGTAAAGTGCTCTGAACGCGTCTTGGCTTTATTCACTTAGAGTGAAGGCGCGGTTTTGCGTGCCAAGGCGTCATGTAAGTAGAGTGAAGACGCGCAACTGCTCCTTTTCAGCTCTTCATTTAGAGCTTCTGCATTTTGGCTCTATCCATTTAGCGTGTCGGCGTGCAACTGTGTATAGAAGCTTTAGTTGTTTAGAGTGAAAACGCATAACTCATTACTTCAGATGCTTCTTTATTGGTCTGCGCATTTTGGCTTCAAATGTTTAAAGTTTCAACGCGCAGATCATAAGGTCCCTGCGTTGCTACTCTACTCACTTGAAGTCTCAACTCTTATGATTATTCCCTCTATAGTAGCTTAAGAACTACAATTTTTTTCTGCAATCTGAATTCCTTGATCATTACCCATCTTGAAACTTAAATTCACCATCTAATTTTTCTCTGAATCACAGCAAACAACCAATCAATTTTCACTACACTTCCTTATCAAAAATCAAATTTCAGAATATTAATTTCTACCTAATTCAAAAAAATATACTACTATGACTCAAAATTAACTAGAAATTCAACATCTAAACTACAATCAATAAGAGTTCAGGTTTTAGAAATGTGAGTTGCCTCTCACAAGTGCTCTTTTAACGTCACTATCTTGACGTTTGATGTTTCTCATTCAAGAGAAACCACTTTGATGCATGAAATTTCCTTTGAGAATGCCTCTCCATAATAAATTTTCAACCTTTGACCATTGACTTTGAACTCTCTCCCTGTATTAGGATCTGCCACCAAGACTGCACCATGAGGTGATACTTCTTTAATGAGGAAGGGTCCAAACAACCTTGATCTGAGTTTCCCTGGAAATAATTTTAGTCTTGAATTGAACAGCAACACTTGTTGTCTAGATTTGAGTTCCCTTTTCAAGATGAATTTATCATGGATCCTTTTGGTTTTCTCCTTATATATCATGGCATTTTCATAGGCTTGCTGTCTGAATTCTTCTAATTCTTGTAACTGCAGAATTCTCTTCTCTCCAGCCTTTGCCAAATCAAAATTCAACCACTTTGTAGCCCAATAAGCCTTATGTTCCAATGCCACAGGTAAGTGACATGCCTTTCCATAGACTAATTGGTAAGGTGACATACCAATTGGAGTCTTAAAGGTTGTCCTATATGCCCATAGACAGTCATCTAGCTTCTTGGACCAATCCTTTCTTGATTGATTCACCACCTTCTCTAAGATTTGTTTAATTTCTCGATTTGAAACTTCCACTTATCCACTTGTTTGTGGATGATAAGGTGTAGCAATCTTGTGTCTCACTCCATATTTTGCTAAGACTAAATCAAGATATTTGTTGCAAAAATGAGTACCTCCATCACATAGTAAGAATCTAGGTACTCCAAACCTAGTGAATATGTTTCTCTTGATAAAGGATATCACCACTTTAGCATCATTGGACCTTGTTGGGATGGCTTCCACCCATTTAGACACATAGTCTACTGCCACAAGTATATATTCATGAGAAAAGGACGTGGGAAATGGTCCCATGAAATCAATTTCCCAAACATCAAACATCTTCACTTCTAAAATATTGTTCAAGGGCAGTTCATGCTTTCTAGAGATATTGCCTGTCTTTTGACACTTGTCACAACTTTCAACATAATTCTTGGCATCTTTAAACAGTGTTGGCCAGAAAAATCCTGCTTGCAAGACTTTTGTAGCAATCCTTGAGCTACCATGGTAGCCTCCATATTCTGAGTTATGACAATGCCACATAATTTCAGCTTGTTCTCCTTGTGGTATACACCTTCTCAGCAGACCATCTACCCCTATTTTGAACAAGTAAGGGTCTTCCCATACATAAAATTTGCTGTCATGCAGAAATTTCTTTCTTTATTGCCAATTAAACTTTGCTGGAATCAGTTGAGTGGCCTTAAAATTTGCTAAATCAGCGAACCAAGGTGACTCTTCCATCACAAATAACTTCTCATCTAGAAATTCTTCATTAATGTCCAAAGAATTAGAGTTCAAACTGTCCAATGGTAGTCTAGACAGATGATCAACTACTCCATTTTCCTTGCCCTTTTTATCTCTAATTTCCAGGTCAAACTCTTGCAGCAGCAGAATCCATCTCAGCAATCTTGGTTCGGCATCCTGTTTTGACAACAAATATTTAAGTGCAGAATGGTCAGTATATACTATTACTTTTGATCCTATCAAGTATGATCTAAATTTGTCAAAGGAAAACACAATGACAAGGAGTTCCTTTTCAGTAGTTGTATAATTCACTTGTGCAGAATTTAAAACTTTGTTGGAATAATAAATCACATGCAATTTCTTGTCTTTTCTCTGCCCTAGAACAGCTCCTACTGCACTATCACTAGCATCACACATTAATTCAAATGGTAAATTACAATCAGGTTTGGCTAGAATGGGTGCAGAAATGAGTTTCTCTTTTAAAACAGAAAATGCATGCAAACATGCTTCATTAAACACAAATTCAGTTTCCTTGACAAGTAAATCACTAAAAGGTTTTGCTATTTTTGAAAAGTCTTTTATAAACCTCCTATAAAAACCTGCATGGCCTAAGAAACTCCTAATTCCCTTAACATTAATTGGTGGAGGTAGTTTACTAATGACTTCAATTCTGGCTTGGTCCACCTCAATTCCTTTTTCAGAAATTCTATGGCCAAGGACTATTCCCTCTTGGACCATAAAATGACACTTCTCCCAATTCAACACAAGGTTTGTATCTTGACATCTCTGCAAAACAATGGACAAATTAGATAGACAGTCATCAAAAGAATTGTCGAATACAGAAAAATCATCCATGAAGACCTCAATGGTCTTTTCTACTAAATCTGAAAAAATGGACAGCATGCACCTTTGGAATGTGGCTGGAGCATTGCACAATCCAAATGGCATCCTTCTATATGCAAATACTCCAAATGGACATGTGAAGGTAGTCTTCTCTTGATCCATAGGGTCCACCGCTATTTGATTATAGCCTGAATATCCATCAAGGAAGCAATAAAATGCATGTCTAGCCAATCTTTCTAACATTTGATCAGCAAATGGCAAGGGAAAATGATCCTTCCTTGTTGCATCATTAAGCTTTCTATAATCAATGCACATACGCTATCCCGTGACAGTTCTAGTGGGTATTAATTCATTCTTTTCATTTGCCACTACAATTATTCCTCCTTTCTTAGGAACTACTTGAACTGGGCTGACCCATTGACTATCTGAAATTGGGTAGATTATCCCTACATCTAACAGCTTCATTACCTCTTTTCTAACCACTTCCTTCATGGCTGGATTCAACCTTCTTTGTGGCTATACTACTAGCTTGTAGTTGTCCTCAAACAGAATTCTATGTCTACAAAAGGATGGGTTAATACCTTTCAAATCTGAGATGTGCCATCCAATTGCATATTTGTGATTCCTTAAAACTCTCAGCAACTTTTCTTCTTCATCTCCCTTAAGATTATTGCTTATAATCACTGGATATTGATGTCTTTGATCTAGAAAAGAGTACCTCAAGTGAGATGGCAATTGCTTCAGCTCAAGTTTCTCCACTTTCTCTTCTTCCTCTTCTTTTTTCAGCTCCTCTCTTGCTGAATTTTTGGATAAAGGGATGATAGGCAGTGTTTCAAGTTGCTGCACATATTCCATGAATTTTTCTTCTCTTTTTACAGCATCTTGTGAATTTCCTACAACTATAATTTCCCTTAACATAGAAAATTCATTAGCATTATCAATTAATTGAGGAAATGAAATAGATTCTAAGATATCAACTCTCATGCAAGTACTATCGTCACTAGGATGTTTGAGTGCTTCAAAAACATTAAAGGTAACCTTTTCATCCTGCACTCTAAGCATTAATTCCCCTTTTTGCACATCAATCAAAGCTCTCCCTGTAGCTAAAAAGGGTCTTCCCAATATTAGAGGAATATCGACATCCACTTCCATGTCTAAAATCACAAAATCTGCAGGGAAAATAAACTTGTCAATTTTAACTAATAAATCTTCTACAATACCATATGGATAAGTATATGATCTGTTCGCAAGTTGTAGAGTGATGCTTGTTGGCTTGACTTCCTCTATTCCAAGTTTTTTCATGATGGCAAGAGGCATAAGGTTGATGCTTGCCCCAAGATCACACAAAGCTTTTCCTATTGTACAATTTCCAATAGAGCATGGAATGCTGAATGAGCCTGGGTCTTTTAATTTTTGAGGCAGCTTTCTCTGCAAAATAGCACTGCATTCTTCAGTCAAAGGGACTGTCTTGTCATTTTCTAACTTTCTCTTCTTGGACAGCAACTCCTTCATGAATTTTGCATATGAAGGCATATGTTCTAATGCTTCAGCAAACGGTATATTAATTTGGAGCTTTTTGAAGATGTCTAGAAATCTCTCATACTGCCTTTCTTACTTAGGATTGGTGACTCTTTGTGGATAAGGCAGTCGTTTGTACCTCTCTTCATCTAGAGGTTTGTTTGAATCTTCTAAAATTTGCCTCTTCGTTCTTCTCATAGTTTTAGGAAGGATATCCATTTCTGAATTTTCTCTTTTCAATATGGTGAAGTTCCCTTCCTCTAGATCAGATTTGATCTTCTCCTCTTCCTTGGTTTTCTCTCTCTTTTCAGCTGGTTTTGGACTACCCACAACAGCTCCACTCCTAGTCATCACAGCTTGGCACTGTTCTTTTGGATTTATAACTGTGTTGCTAGGAAATCTCCCATCTTCGCTGCTGGAAAGTTGCTCAGCTAGTTGTCCAATCTGTGTTTCAAGCTTCTTCATGGAAGATTCTTGATTCTTAAAGCTTGTTTGTGTTACTTTCATGAATTGCAGCATGATTTCTTCCATTTCATTTCAGCCTTTCATTCAATGGTTTAGAAAACCTCTAATTTTTTTGAAGTTGGTTGGCTGGATTCCCTTGGAAATAAGGTTGTTGTGCTGCTGGACCTGCATTTGAAAATGGGATAGTAGAGTTAGAATTTTTCCAATTAGAATTTTGGTTATTCCAGCTATGTTGCTGCTGGTTTCTATTGTTAGAGAACTGAAAACCAGGGGAAATGAAGATTGTTGTCTCTGAAAAATTCCCCATATAATTGACTTGCTCTTGAGATTCAGAATTATGTCCATCACAAGCTCCGTTTACATTATTCCCTCCACAAAAATCACACACAAGTGGAGTGTTCTGTGTTAGTGCAGCTTGTAAGTTGCTGATTTGTTGGGTGAGTGCAGCTATTTGTTCAGAAAACAATTGGTTTTGCAACTGATTTTGAGTCAAAAAGGTCTCAAGAAGTTTTGTCTCATAGCCACTACTCCTTGTTGATTGTCTCAAACTACAGCTTTGATGCATGGAGGAGGCCATCATATCTATAATTCCTTGAGCTTCTTCTAGTGATTTGGTGTTCAAAGAACCTCCTGCAGCTGCATCTATCATTGTTCTAGTTGCTGGATTCATCCCATTATAGAAGGTTTCAAGTTGCATCCATTCCGGTATGCAATGGTGTGGGCATCTTCTCAAGAGTTCCTTGTATCGTTCCCATGCCTCATAAAGTTTCTCCTACTTGCTGCATGAAGGATGTGATCTCTCCTCTTAGCTTTGCAGGCTTAGAAGGTGAAAAATATTTAGAGAAAAATTTATTGACTAGATTTGTCCAAGTAGTTATGCTCCCTTGTGGTTGGGCTTGGAGCCAACATTTTGCCTTGTCCCTCAAGGAAAATGGAAACAACCTTAATCTAATTGCATCTTCGCTAACTCCATTGATCCTTATGGTATCATATAACTGCAGAAAATTAGAAATATACAAGTTAGGATCATCTGAAATTAAACCAAAAAATTGATCTTGTTGAACTAAGTGAAGTAACGCAGGTTTAATCTCGAAATGGTTGGCTTGAATGGTTGGTCAGACAATAGAAGAACTGTATCTATGCATATTAGGTACTCCATAGTCTCCTAAAGTCCTTTGTCTATGTGGTTCAGCCATCTTTGCTTTTGAATTTACAGATGAAGTTGGAGAATTGGCTTGTTTTTCTGCTAAGTTTGGTGAAGAAGGTGTAAACTGTGAATTCTGCTTCTTTTTAGCCGAGTTCTCTGCCCTTAATTCGTTCCTTATCCTTTTCAAAGTTATGTCTATGTCCGGATCAAATACAAGAACAGATTTATTTTTATTCTTCCCACGCATATAACACAAGGAAAACTAAACACAAACACTAATATTTGAACTTTGATTAGAACACAGAGCAATGAAGTGCAGAGAAATTACAATCAAAATATTCTTCAAGAGCTAAAAGATAACCTCTGTTTATTTAAAAATAGAACAGCAATGCAATATTACAAAAATTAAAATAATAACAGCTAATATATGTAAAATAACTACCAAAACTTAATATGAAATTGAACTATCAAACAGAATTGACTTAAAACAGAAAGTAGGTGGTACAATCTAGCTATCCTTTAGTTAATAATGATGTTAAAAATTAAGATCCCTGGCAACGGCACCAAAAACATGATACACGTTTTTCTATCGTAGTACTTAAATAGTGTAATTCACTACTAGCAAGTGTACTAGGTAGTTGTAGCAAGTTATAAAGTGTGGAAATCAGATTAAGTCTAAAGTATCGTCCTCTAGGATCTTATTTTTAATCATCAATTCACAAGATAATAACTATTTGCACCAAACAATTCATTGAACAGATTTCAATATGCAAGAAAGTAAAATTCAAAATTAAAGAAATGAGAAATTGTTAAAAACAGAATGTTAACTTGTACTATTAGAATGAATTACGAATGGATGAAAGTTAGGAATTTATTTCACTAAAATATCAATATCAATTCAGTTTTGCCTCTGAACATTCAAGCAGTTGATTGATTGATAATCGGTTTCTCTTTACAATAACCAAAGATTGATTCCTCAGCTCATTGGTCCTAATAGTCAACCAAATCTCCCTAATTCCTTAGGCCAAATTTAGTTCAATATTGCATTACGAATTAGAACCAAAAGATTGCAAAACTAAGACCACTTATCCCTAAGAAAATCAATAGTTTTGGTGATTAATTCAGATCCAAGCAACAAACCCAATTTCCATCAGTGAAGGCTACTCTTTGATTAATCAATTGAATTTCCATTCAAAGATCAATTAAACACAGAATTAATCCCTCAATCAAATCAAATACTCAAAGTTTAGGGTCAAAACGAAATCAATATATCAATTCTAGATCCATAAATCCCTAACAAAAAGAGTTAGAAACACATTACAATGAAATGGAGAGAAGCAAGAAGAAAAGAAGATGAAAAACAGAGAGCCATCTCCATAACTTTGCCTTCCCCCAGATTCCTCTAGCAAAGAAGAACAAAAGTCGCTCCTCCCTTCTCCCTCTGACTTCCCTTGGAAGTTAAAGCGGTTACAAAATGAATACCAAAAACTAAAAATGACAAAAAGCTTCTTTTCTAAGTTTCTAATTCCTATTTATAGAGTTCCCCTAATTCTTCGACTTAACCCTTGAAATTCTGATAGTTAGTTATCCCCAGGTGTTCTAGAATCTTCTAAAAGTGATACAGAAGCTTTAAAAATCCAAAAATTGGCAAGAAGAAGAAGTTATAAAGTTGCAGAATTTTGTGCCAAAACGCGCAGTAGCTGAAGTGAAGGCGCGCAGTTGCGCGCCTTGGTTGCATGTGATCTGCGTTCCCACGCTCTTAGCGCCAAGGCTTCAACTGATGTGCGTTGTCACGCGCAAAGTTCCAGTCTAGGCTTTACTTGGATGCTCAGTTTCGCGTTGCCATGCCCTGTACTATGAGTTACAACGCGCTCTCGCGTGCCAAGGCTTCAAGTGATGTGCGTTTCAACGCACAACACTTCAATGAATGCTTCTTCTATGTGTTTAGCTCTGCGTTGCTACGCCATCTGCTATGCGTTTCTACGCTCTATTGCGCACCAAAGCACTAGGTGATGTGCGTTTCAACGCAATGACAGTTATCTAATTTCAGTTGCTGGAGTGTTAGCCCATATCACTCAGAGTAGCCACGCAGACCCAGTGCTGTATTTTGTTCTTTCCATGTTCAAATGCCAATCACTTGGAGTTGTAACGCCCAGCTCTTAGGATTTCTTCAAACTTGATTCTTTGACTATTCTTCTTCAATTTCAGCTTTTACTCCTTCCTTTAAGCACTTTCAATAACTTTCCATCTTTTTGCATGAACTCCTACAAAAATCTAAACAATTTTTAATATTTCAACAAAACAACAATTTATACTAATTATTTTATTTTTGTGATCTTTTCAAATTTTAGAACTATTTTTCTAATTATTAACCAAAAACTATGCTAAAATAATGGTAAAATATGGATTTATCATTTCACAAAATGGGAATAAGAAAATTTTCATTCAAAATGGACTTTCCCACACAGAGTTTTACCAAAGTATTCAAAGTAATAAAGGTTAACAAATTCAGATTGAGTAACTGTTACAGGACTAATTCATGTACATCACAATTTCAAAATAAATCTAAAAACCCTATAGCAGTGTCATTCACCCCTTCACTGAGTCCGGTGTTGATCGTCTTAGTCACCTGAAAAATAAATGTAAGGGTGAGTACTCTATGCTATCTAACATACACAAATATAGAGACTCACCGTGCACACTTCACGCGTTTCCTAACATATCCTACTCAATTATAAACAATCACAATCAACACTTTCAAGCATTCCAAATCAATGAACAACTGATGCGCTTACTGCACCAACAACATTTTGCACACACACGTGCACTTATTGCATGTAACCATGCTCACTGTGGCACTATGATCACTGTTTCACACCATGGATGGTCGCCGATTAGCCATGCATCATGGATACCGCGTGTGTAGTCACGAGTTGCTCAGCAAAGGTGTTGGTCAGAGGTTTAGTCAGGAGGAGAGTGTATGGCCTGTAGTACACCTACGCTCACTGTTGGTGTCACCACCACTCTCTCTTTCCCAAGGTATTTCTACCGTTCCCATCTTTTATATCTCCAGTGTATCGCTGAACCATTTATAGCATATTTACAACTGCATATAACATGCCTCTTTCACACACATTTCAATTTACATGCCATATTCATATTCGCACACGGCACACAGGCCCATACTCATTCACATTACACGGCACAAATGCCCACACTTATTTGCGTTACATTTAACGCACAATAATTTCATACACAACTCTTTCAACATAATCCACATTTACATTCAACATACCATCCACACCCATTTTCAACTATTTACATTATTCAATCATCAATCAATGGCATGCTCATACACATTCACTCCATCACACCCATCATTCAATGTTCATTTCATCATATC